GAAAAGAAAACTGAGACCTATAGCTCTGCACAGCTGCATGGGAACAACTCTGAAGATAAAACTAACATGTCAGTGTTTTTTGGCCACCTATAAATCCATCTGCACCTGCAGATGAAAAATGAACAAGCGATTTAGTCTATCAGTGGTGTACTGAATTGCCTGTGAAAAGCATGAACAGCCTTAAAAGGCAACAAACAACCTTTGTATTTCTTTCATGGGTTCGTTAGTTTGCTGTGGCTGATTTTTGCTCTCACTAACACTCCTGAACTCATTGCTGAATTTCACAACTGAACCAGCGTAGGGCTGGACTGGAGCATGAGGTCAGCCCACAGGCACAGAATAGTGCCAGGCTTTGTAGTGCTCAGGTTTGTTGTCTGAAAAGGCCTTGCGCTTTTTCAGGCAACCTCTGCCTCCCCCCACTGCTTTCTCAAATATTTTAAGAATATTTCAAGATCGTGCGTCAGAAATCTGCACAGGACTGATCTAAACCCTGCGTGTTCTGTGATGCTGCAGTGCATTCTGAGAATGGCCCAAACCTACATCAGGAAACTGTAAAGGAAACAAGGAGATAAGATATTTCTGATCCATGAGCACAAACAGTCCTGGTTGGCCATGACAGAACTCTGCACAGGCTGCCAGAAGCAAGGAGGCTTTCCTTGGTTTGTTGCTGATTCGTAAAAGGCGTCTAAGGGGTGAAATGTGATAGTCTCAAGAGGAAAGAAGTGGGGTGGGATTAATTTAGTTTAATTTTAGACAGACTGAAGTAAGGTGTTGAGTCTTTCCTGCTCTCTTGATTGTCAATAGAGAGAGACAGGAACCACCAACGTGTAATTCAGCCCACCAGTTGTAGACAGCTATTTTAGGATGGGCTGAGTGCTTCTGGAGGTGCCCGTTCTTGGCGTTTGAATAGAGAGGATGCCTGATTCATCTGAAGTGTCTCAATTTTAGGTATCTGAAGACTAGGCAAGATGACTCCAAGCCTTGGTATCTGGTGCGACCTCAGATGGGAGGGATGGAGGGAGGAACACTGTATCACAGGGTGAAGTTAATCATGCAGCAGGAACCACTGCAGGACTTGCATGTGCATTTCTGAGGCAGTATGGGGGCTGCTAAGAGGAATGCTGACACAGCTGGAAATAGAGCAGCACCAGCAGACACCACCATGTGACGCTTGCTAATACTTTGTTCCCTGTCATTATGCTTCTGAAAATACACATTTGTGGCGACAGGAGGACTCCGAGGGCAGCAGTTAGGAGAGAGGCTGGCTTTATGGATGGTTTTCTTCTGACTGGTCTAATAGCACTTCCAGGATATTTTGTGTATCCAAAAGCAGTGCTTAAGGTATTGTTTTATTTGTTTTGAAAGAGGGCATCTGTTGAAGCTTCCCCCTTGCTAAACTTTTTTTCCTCCCCTGAGAACCAAGGTCATGGTGAATTTTCTCTAGTTATCAGAGCACAAGGCAAGACCCTGTCTGTCCCCAGCACTGGGCCAATTAGTGTGACAGTTGCTAGGAGGGTCATGGAGGGGTGAGCTGAAATGCTTTTTGAGAGGCTGAGCATGCTTTCTTCATCAACCCTGACAGTGGTGTCTCTGATGGTAACGTGAACAGGAAATTGGGTCCAGGAGTTGAAAACTGAACCCCAGTTCAGCATCACTAGAAACTTCACAGGCATGTTGAGCTTGATGACGCAGAAGATGGGAGGAGTGATGACTGTGAGGGTCCTGTAGGAAAGGCCTGAGCAGCTTCTCAGCGGAATGATTAGTCTAGCCTGTAGCCTTTTCTGCAAGGGGGAGAACGGGCTCAAAGCATGCCTGTGCACTTGTAGACTTTATAGCACAGATATTTAATTAGCTGAACGCTACTTGGGGCTTAGCACTCTGAGCGACAGATCACTTGTACTGCACACGCACAACATACAGCTTTCTGCAGTGTAGATAATGCACTGCCTGGAGAGACCGGGCAGCCCCAGCTGTTATCTCAGCTAGTCTTATCTGCTTAGATACTGTTATCGTAGCTTCTTGGTGTGACGCCCACTGTAGCGGGGCCTGAACACATGATCTTTGTTCTGTGTGCCTTTCCTCACAGTACCTTGGGAAGCAAGGCAGGGCTCTTCTACAGATGAGGAACGAAAATGTACTGAGGACTAAATAACTCATCCAAGGGCAGAGAGGATGCTTGTGCCAGAACCGAGATCTCCAGCTATCTTGAGCATAATTGGAAAATCTGAGTAGATCATTCCATACCAAGAAAATTGCAGGGATAAAGTAGAGATTAGGCAAGGTTCAGTTCTTCCATATTCATTGAAAGACTTTGCTCACTTATGGACATGATGGTGTATTCCAAACATGATCTGTGAGCTTTTGGTGATACAGGATGATTAATTTGAAAAAAATGCTTTCTTTGTGTATTTGAGTGGAGAAGGAAGGCTGGAAAATGCAAAGCCTTTAGCATGTCTTTTACTGTATACAGCAGTGCTGTTACTGAGTTGTGATACTGTTATAAGATTATGCTGATTGGGGTTATATAAATAAAGAGAAAAAAAACCCTGGCAGGCATTCCGTGGGTGCCCAAAAGATAGTTTGACCTCTCAGCATAGCCATATTAGTAGTTTTTTATATTTTTATATGCAGTATCTGGGTCTAGCATAAAATCCGTTAAATCAACAGACATTATTTCAGAAAGAAAAAGGTTTGTTGTTTTTAAAGGAGGGGAAGAGTGAAATACCCTGGGATAATAGGGGTCTTCAAGAAATGGAATACAGCCTGGAGGAGAATACCACAGCTTCGGTGACACTGCAGCAAGGATCTATAGCTCTGGGATTGTTTGGAATTTTTTTTCTCTTTTGCCTCACTTTAATATTTACAGTTAATATAAATGTGTTCTCTATCAATAAAGCTGACAGAGAAATGGATAGGCTGGGAAATGCTATGAAACTCTGATTCTCTCTGACTCTTATTGTTTTGCTTTAACTTTTAAACATTGGCCGTTCATACAGTTGGTGGGGGGAAAAAGAGAGACTGAATGCTTTGAAAAGATAACCAAATTTTAAAGATGAAACTTTTGGGAAAATCATCCTCAATATTTAAAAAATTGGGTATGTTTTATTGGGTCCAACGTACACAGGCTGTGGTTGTTTCATTGCTATGCACAGGCTTCATTATGCTACTGACGGGTGGGCATGAGTTTCCCTAAATTGCAGTGGTAAGGTCAGGTCAGACAGGGATGCATGTTAATTTCTGACGGAATCCAACTGCCGTATCTGTGGGTTCATGTTTCAATTAAGCTGAAATGTAAGAAAGGTTATGAAAAAGGAGGTATTTTCTTTATGGCGCCCATCAGTACTGGGCTAATTTTAGGAGATGGGGCAGAATTCTATTTCTGCGTTCATTTAGTTAGAGAAACATTAAACCCTTGCTGAAGTCAGCCCGAGTTGCGTATACAAGGCATTGGAGAAGGAGGTGTCTGGCTTGATGACTTAAATCAAGTGCCAAAGGTTTGAAACTCTTACAGCAGCAACACTGGAAAATAGGGTCATTGTTATAAAAGAAAAAAATCCCTTAGTTCAGAAGAAACTGTTTAAATCACATGAAGGAGAAAGATTCCAAACTTGAACTAATTCAATTTCTCCCTAATTATGAACTATATAAGGGAAAAAATTGTTCAGGATGTTGGCAGAGCTTGCAGTGTTGGTGCTTTTTGCACTCAGTGCTGCTGGAACTAATGTGAGGGGGGAGAAGTGGTCCCTGTGCTGAATTGCAAAGGCTTGTTAGCAGGTGAGTATTCTGCTTTACCAGCAGATCTGGTGGGGAGACTTCCATCAGAGTCCATCTAGTGCCATTAGTCCTTCAGTCTTGTGAACACTGCTTGCCACTGCAGTCTAGGAACGTAGATTGTAAAGAATCTAAGTTAAAAGTTGTCATCTTAAGATAACTTGAAGCATTTTTATTCTTTCTCTAGATGTACAGGGGCTTCCAGATAATGCCACATGTTCAGTACATCTACACAGAAGCCTCAGAGAGTCTTTGTGGAGTCAAGCTGGAGGTCAACAAGTACCAATATCTGATTACAGGTAAAGGACAGTGGTGTTCTTTATAACCAAAACCTCTTCTGTTCTATGCATAAAATTGCTAAAGACATGGGCAGCGGGGTAGACAGCTCTATATGCAGCTTCCCAAGTGTTGAGATGGCCAACAGTATTTTGGTGTTCAGTACTGTTTAGAGAGTGAAATGACTCTCAGTATTAGAGTTCCCTCTTTCCTGAAGTATCTCTCATACCCAGCCATGTTGTGACAAATATGCTGTAAGACAGTCCGCAGCTGTCAATTCACACCTGAGCTGGCAAGTCTGTCACAGGGAACTGGCTGCTACTTGGCTGCTCCAGAAATGGAAGATCCTTTTGGAATGACCTGGAGAAACGCAGGCTGCTGAGATGGGAGGATGCAAGGAGAGAGAGGTGTGGCAGTTGCCAAGTCTTGTTTCTGGTGAAGGTGTCAATTCACTTTGCTCTGCTGAGAGGAGCTTGACAGCATTACTCACCTGCAGGTTGTTGCTGGTGCTTACAGCTGACACAGCACTCCTAACTTACAGAAGTGCTGTAATCTTGCTGGCCAGAGGTTCCTGAACCAGTTAATAAAAAGAAAGCAGTTGCTGAGCAGTGACTGAAGCCAAACATACTGAGACCATTAGCAATCTCAGGAAATGAGAAAAGTGCTTGAGCTGAGAAGTGCTAACTTGTGACTGTGTCTCTGTTTTCAAGGCCGTGTATATGAAGGGAAGGTTTATACTGGCCTGTGCAACTGGTATGAGAAATGGGACCGGCTGACTCTGTCCCAGCGTAAAGGACTGAATCATCGTTATCATTTGGGCTGTGGGTGCAAGGTATGTGCATCTCCAATTAGGTGGCGTTAAGACATTCAAAACATAGAATTCTGTTTCCCCTGGCTGGTAGTACTAACGATGCTGGTAACAGCCAGGAAGAGAAATGGAGGACAACATTTTTTACAGGGGAAAAAAATAAAGCTCGGCTTTAGCATTGAGACCAGAGAAGAGACAATAAATGAAAATGCAGAGTCTGTGCCTTTTTAATGCCCTGTTGGAGTTAATTGGGGTTGGGGAAGGCTTTCATAATCCATGCAGAATAATTTTCAGGTGCATTAAATCAGGTACCAGAGGCTTGGCAAGGTATGTCCAAATTTTTTCCTGTGTAAACATTTTGAGTCCTTAAAACCTCACAGCCTGGCACTAGTACTAAGATTTTTTGCTCATGGCCCCAGGCCTGCAAAAACATAGACACAAGCTTGACTTTCCTGCACCTGAAAAGCCCTTTTGACTCTGGAATTATCTGTGCATGTGAAGCTAAGCACATGCTTACGTGCTTACTGAGCTGAGGCTGAATTTTGGGTTAGTAAGCAAGGTTTGAGGGAGTGGAAATTTTAATCCCTTGTCTCATGTGAAAAGATATTTTGTATAATCTTGTTTTTTCCATGTAGCCTTACCCGATTGCTCTTTACAATTGCAGATTAGACCCTGCTACTATTTGCCCTGCTTTGCCACCTCCAAGAATGAGTGTATTTGGACAGACATGCTCTCCAACTTCGGCCACTCAGGATACCAAGCGAAGCACTATGCCTGCATCCAGAGGGTGGAAGGTTACTGCAGCTGGTATAGAGGATGGGCGCCTCCAGATAAAACAATAATCAATGCCACAGATCCCTGAGCGCGCTATCCCTTCCTTATCTCCCCTCTCCCTTACTTGTGGCTGATCTTCCTTTGGACACTAACTCTTACCAGATCATGATGATGACAATGAAATTTAGTGCCTGTTTTCATGCAAATTTTAGCACTTCGAACACTTAAAGAAAAGGAAAAAAAAAAAAAAAAGAAAAAAGTCTGTGCTACCTTACTGAATTTGTAATCGCCTTTTCAGTTTTTGATACCACTCATTTTGATCAGATGACATTTGGGAGCTTGCTTTTGCACACCAGAGGGGAAAAATGGGAGGGGAAAAAGAAAGAAAAAGAAAAAAAAAAAAAAGAAGAAAAAAGATGGAGCTCTTGCTGTCTTACATGTATCATTAGCTGTAGCAATATAATCTCTATTTTTTTAGGAAAACAAAAATCTAAAAACTATGCCAGTTAGGCACTGTATTCTTCTGTGTGCTGGCTTCCCGTCACCCTTCCTCATGCACCAAGTGCTGAAAATACGTAGACAAATCTATGTGAAGGAAAATAGGTTTCATTAATCAAATTGGCAAATGAAACAAACTGAACAGAAACCCAGCCTAAGCTCTGGAAAAAAATGATGTCCAAAAGAAATCCTCCTCTATGGGAGAGATTGGCAATGTGATTGACTGCAGCAGTGGGAGAATTCACCTGGTGTGTCTGACCACATCATCTGGTAAAAACATTGCTGACTGATGGTCCTAGCTAATTCAATCACAGTGTGAATGCAACAGTGCATTTGAAGTTCTGGCTTTCCCCAGAACAAAAGAGAGTGTTTTGTATTTTTTTTGTTGTTTAAAAAACAAAATCCCCTCATCCCTTAGGTTCAGGGAGGTAAAAGCACCTACAGCAGAGCAGATGAAGTGCTGTGCCATTCTGTTTTGAGCAGCATTAGCCCCTGAAATTTTTGCAGCTTAACTTTAACAGCAAAACCAGCTTGTGAACACCTTAAACCAAACAGATGCAAAAATACCAACTGTAAATCAATCACATGGAAGAGGGAAAGGGGAGACTTGCTAGAGCTCTTACTAGAAAAAAAAAATAATCTATTGCCAAAATAGTGTTTTGCTGAACTGAGATGTATATACACTTAATGACATAAGCTATTTTTGACAGGACATGGAATTTTTTGGTGTTATAAACAAAAGAATGGTTTGATTGTGTTTTAAAGACAGAAATATTGACATTCCGAGTCAGTGAGTTGTTTTTAAGGTATTGAAGCTCCAGTGTATCTGCAGTAGTGGCTACAGTCATTGTTTCCTCTGTACCTCCTTGCACCGCGGTTCCTGCCCTGCAGCTACACTAGCTGCATTTGTTTATATAGTGAAAGGAAGTGGGAGGGGGTGGCTAGGCAAGGAAGAGTGGTCTCCTAATAAGTGCTGGCTGGGATCATAAAATTTCAGCTGCCCAGAGGATTCCTTCTGTGTAAAGTGCTGTGTTTGCCTCTAGGCACTGTTAAGCATAGCTCTGTGCATGTGCTCATACCATGTCCTACAGTGATGTGGGAGGAGGAGCCTGTCTTGTGCTTTGCCGTTGACTGGAGAAGTTTCTTTGTTCTATTTTGTTTTTTATTAATAAAGCTATAATATAATTTTTCTTATCAAATAAAAGTATTTTAAGTTTTAATGATGGTGAAGAAGGGGTGCTCACAAAATGGGTGACTGAGTTTTGGATGGGGAGGGCTTGGGCAGGGAGAAGATTATGCTTAACTTCATTTTTGTATTATTATGATTATTTATCTTAAGTTTCCATATATCTTCAGTTCATTCCACTTAGAAAGCAGAGCTGCCACCAGCAGGAAAAAGTGTTGCAGTGATTCCAGCTTGGGGCAGTACAGCATTTCACAGTCAGTGACCTCAATTACTACCAGAGCTCTGCCAGAAGTACATCCCCTGAAATGCCCCATTTACTAGATGAATTGTTACAGCAAAAAGCACGTAGCTTCATTGTTAACATGAACTCTAAAGGGCATTTTCAAAGAGTTGATGTAAGAGGTGCCTAGGTCTGCTTCGTGTTTTATTTTTTTTTTTATTCAGCTGCTCCGAGTGGCAATGCAGCACAAAACACACTGAAAGTTTGTTGGATTTTCCTGTGGCTCAGGCTTGGAACGCTTTTCAGAAGTTCTCTTCCCTGTGACTACTCCTAAATTACGGGTTGGAGATGAGAGGGAGAGTCAAGTGCTTCACAGCACCCGTCATAGGATCAGGTGGTGGGTCAGAATGTTGCCCTTTTGGCAGAGTACAGGGTTGGGCTTTGGGCACAGTGGAGCAATCTGTTCGAGCTGTGCACAGCTGACAAAATCTCCAAGGGTCACTGAGGGCAGAGAGTGGAGCTGGCCTCACTGTTTGCATCGTGTGGAGTCCGCATTTCTGGAGATGGCCCTCCTCAAGCTCAAGGCGACGTTGCAAAGCTGATGTCTCTCTGAGCTGCAGCCACTTTTCACGGCTTTGGAAGGCTAAATGAAAATGCCCCTCGATGCGATAAAGTGTTGATTTGAATTTTCATTAAACTGCAGCTCTGCGTATTTTACCTGTCACTGATTCATTTAGCTAGCTGAGACATCACAGTATTGCACTCAAATTATTGTGAAAATATTTGCATTCTAATACTATGAGGACTTGTGTCCCTAAGTAGGATATAATCTAGCTATGTGCTTTGTAAACAACAAACCAGCAGATGCGTTACCAGAAAATGAAGCGTATTCCCATTTTATATTGCAGACGGTAAAATATTTCTGAGATGCAGACAGCTAGACCGGCAGGGGTGGGGGTTTGGTAGCAAATCTTTCCCCTTGCTGTGTAAAGAAACAGTTGTTAAGGCTTTTAGAAATGTGGAGCCAAAAGGAGGGGGAAGAATCCAGTAAAAATACATTTCTTTTGGGAGGCTTTTTAATTTTGTTTCTGTGCATGCTATCAGGGACATGTATTTCTTGGGCTAATTTTTAGCTTGTGCTTGCATTAAGAACCTGACTGAAGGCTTCTTTGGAATAGGAGCCATTAAATGGATTGAACAGGTTCTAAATCAGACTCAAAGACTTCTTCCTTTTTATCTGCTCTCTTTTCTTCTGTCTTGCTAAGTCACTTCTCCCTGCCAGTGGACAAAACTCTCTCCCTTGTTACAGCATGCCGTGCAGTATGTGGGAACAGCAGGCATGGAGAAGTGAGGAGGCAGGTGTGAAGTTCTCCTCAAAATATTAGGCTATGGAGCATACAACGGCTTACAGCAGGACAGATATCTTCCTGTTACCTCGGACATGCTCCTCACTTCACCCCATAACCCAAGGTCAGAGGAACTGTTAATGGCACAGCTCACGTGAGCACAACCTTTGGACATCTACAGGACCAGGGCTTCCCCCTCGCATCCCCTATGCTTTAGATACACCAACATTATTAAAAGTACTTTTAAAAATGCATAGCTCATTTCTAGTCTGTTGCTGTTCACTTTCTTATTTATAGATATTTTTCCTTATTTGCTTGAGAGTGTTTTCCCCTTTAGAATGACAAAAATATGAAAAATATATTGAAGGTTTGGGAAAGATTTGATTTAATTTTCCTTTTCCAGAATGAGGGGGGAGTAGAGAGCAGAAGGAGATCTGTGCATGGAGTACCTTGAATAAAGTCCTCTTGTGGGAGACTTTCACCCTCCCCTGGATGGGCCGAAACTGCCATTTTAGGTCTAAATTTCCACTGTCTTGGAAAGTTACATGGCCCTGTAGATAGGACTATTCTAAAAGCTGAATATATCACCTTATCCCATTCATACTTGGCTGGAGTGAAATGCTACCTCACGGTGATGGGAAACATACTGTTGTGTTTTTTATAGTAAAGAAAGTGAAGGCCTCCATGGGAACAAGTTTCCATTCTTTCAGATGTCTCTGAAAGTAGATCTCACTTACAACAGACTTTATAGCTTAGGAAGGCAGAACAAAATTTAGGGAACTGCAAAAAGTTTTTGTCTTTTTTAGAATAAGTGGGTTTTGGGGCTACCAATCTTGAGAAGAATTTTAAAAATCCACTCAATATTTGCTGCTGCTTTGCCTGTACTGGCTTCTCCTTCTCTCTGAGACTGTCCTTCCTTCATAGAGCCCCTCTGCTGTTCCTGATAGTCATGGAAACTTGGGGAGGGAACCAAACCCGTGTGAAATATCTTGTCCAGAAGGAATGTGTTTGTTGCTAAATTTTCTAGCACTGTTTACAGTTTTCCTCCATGTTATTTATAAATTTTATATTCAGTGAATGTATATTGTCTTTTAAGGTAATGTTGCATAATGTTCACTTTTTATAGTGTCCTTTTATTCTAAACAGTAAAGTGGTTTTATTTCTATCACAGACATTCTGTCTCTGCTTCACTTCTATTAGTTTCTGTCCACTTCAAATGTACACAAATGGATTTACAGGTGGATTTATTCATTTCCTTCCCTTTCTTGATACCATTTTATTGGGCCCAAAGCAGATATTCCACCTCTGGCAATTCTTGTGCTTTGGCAAAGATCCCCCCAGCAGTCTTTCCCTGTTTTTAAGAGGTTGATCTCTTTAAGAATTGTTACTGGGGTCATAAGCCCAGGAGAGGGGGAAAAAATACCTTTTGAAGTTAATGTATCCCGCTTGTTAACTGTCCATACGGGGTCACTGCAGAGCAAGGCAGTCATTATGGCTGTTGTGTAGCACCAGTAGGGCCTCAGAAGAACAGTTGCCAGATTGCTCTTATTTCCAGTAATCTGATTTCTGGGGGGGAGGGTTGAAAGTTACATGTCGGTGCAAAGGGAGGAGAGATTTGTCTTTTAGATCTTTTCTGCTGTGAAATGCCAGAGCCTTGTGTCCTCCCTTTAGGTTTACTATTTAAGGCTGGTTAAAAATGCCCCATTGTCATGAGAAGGACGCTTCAGAGACAGCGTTTTTAACTAAATTAAAATGCTCACAAAAATGGGCCTACTATTAGAAATTTCCTTTATCTCACTCTTACTTTCAGAAAGGTCTATTCTCTACATGAATGAAAGAATGAAACAGATTTTTGAATCTCTTCTATGTTTAATCCAAAGGTTTAGAAAATAAACTTTGGAAAGTTTTGGACATAGAAGGTTGAGGATCTCTTGTGTGAGAACTTCATTGCTTAAATTATACCAAGCAGCAAAGAGGTGAAACCGTAGCACTAGTGATAAACACTTCCAGGGGGTCAGCCATCAAAGGACCACAGTGTATTTTACGAGTGCTAACTGGTGCAGCTTGAAAATGCCTCCAGGAAAGGGAAGGAAAAGAGTGGGAAAGGGTGATCATTGTATTCCTATCTGACACATGGAGAAGCTGATGCACAGTGGGCAAGCAACTTTCACGGGTACTTGGAGGAGTGATGACTGCGATGGAGCTGGCTTCGTATAAGCACTTGCCCTCTTAAGCCCCTCACATCCCAGGATACTGTGAAGATGCACCCAGAAAAGATCTTGAGAAGTTACATAGATTCATTCTGTGAGGCAAACCCCCCACCTGGAAAGGGCTGGCCTGAAGTTGCCTGAGTGGACTGTCGCTTGTGTAAATGTTTGGAAAGTGTCTGATTTAAACCAGGTTGCTCAAGCTTGCATGTCAGCAATGGTGTTTGTGTTCAGATGAGATTATGTACAGTTTAGAAAGGTTCCTGTATTCTTTTGGAAGTAAACAATAGCATCTCTAAGTAGGTGATCAGGTATAAAGATGGCAAATATGTGAAATTAAGATCAGTGCTCTGCTAAACCAAACTACTGTGTTGGCAACAGATGTATTTAAGTGATGAGGAATCAAGAATCAGATTTCCAGACAAGAAAATAATTCTCAAAGTGCCAGCTGACGTATTTGCAATGAAAATCTTAATCTAGTCTTCCAAAAATACCATTCCTGAAGTGATGGTCAAAGTCACAACTGTCCTGCAGCTTTACATATATCACAAAACCCTCTTTATAAATTGGTGGGAATAAAATACCACAGGATTTATCAAGTAATTGGTCTTAAAAGTCTGCAACAAACTGTCACATAGTGTCTAAAGACCATCTATTTCTTTGTTTTAAGTGATAATACAACTCTTACCACTGCATTGCTGGAGTGCTTCACAGCACTGATGACTGTACTTACCTTCACCACGTGCATGTGAAGTGTGGAAGTGCTGTTGTCCACAGAGCAGAGGTAGAGAACAGAGTATTGGAACAGAGAGATGAAGGACGGGCATTTCAAGGTATTCAAGTACCTAGCAAGCACCAGTGGGATTTTTCACGAGAATCTAAATGACGATCTAAATGAAATTCCTTCTGAACTTTGAAGCTCCCACTGGGTGCCTATATTCACCACCAGGTACCCACACCCTTTTATGCATTGTGCTTGGCCCACACTGGTGTGAGGAAAGAGGAGTTTGGATGTTTTGGAGCCCTAGTTTGACATCTCAACAACCCTAATCTTCGGGCTGCCAATGCTGCTGAAGTTCACAGTCAAGTGTGGGAAATCAGCTCAGCCAAGCAGTGGCTCACACAGAGGAGTCATAGTTCATACAGGGTCTCTCCAAAGCCTCAGCCGGGTAAGAAGAGCCACTAATTCATGGATGTAAGTTCGGAGCAATAATTCGTGAGGGACTAGTCATCCTTTTCTCTCAGGGAAAACAAGAGACGTGAACAATTCTAAACAAAGCCACTTGCTTTGCCGTGTTCTCCAGCAGTAAAGGCCCCTACTCAGATCTCTTTGGAAGGTGCCCTCAGAGGCTGGTACAGTGCCCAGCAGCCACACAGGACACTGAGTGTTCAGTTGTTGACAGGAAGACTGGACCCCAGAGCCACTGCGCAAAGGAAGCGTCATAAGCTGAATCAAACTGTCTTCCAAGAACTCCAGTTTACTTGGAGTCCCTAATCAGGGTGTTAAATGTTTCACGGATGGCAACCATGTGACAGACCAAACAAACTGACACTGTGAAACAAACATCTTCTATGGCCTATGTCCCAAACCGTCAACGTATTTTAAACAACTCTAAGAGGGAAAAAAATCTGCTTTATCTGAGTAAATTGATTCCTTGCTCTAAGGGATGAACTTTTGTTGACTAGGTTTTACAATGGATTTTTGCTTTGGTTTTGAGCCTGTTCTTGTTCAGTTTTTCAGGGTCCATACGTGACCTGGGGGAGGGCTAGGCAAGGAAGGAAGGAGGCTCCCGAGCAGTACTTTTTCCATATTGCTTATAGCTAGTAATTCTCTGTAAGTAAAACTGAGACTCTTCCAAGCATTCCCACCGCCATCTCTTGCACCCAACTCACATTTGCTGCTTCTTCCCCATCCACGCGGGCGTCAGAAGAAAGCAAAAGTACTCACCATCTGCTTATGGCTCGGGAAGAATGTTTGCTCCACGAGGGGGAACTTCTCAGGACCCAGCGAGTTGAAGATTTTAATGAGCTGAGAAAACTTGGGGTGAGGGAAGGGGAACAAAAAACAGACACAGTGGATGTCAGTGGCTTATTGTGTAACACGAAGTGCTTGCAAAATGTTCTGATACTGGTGAAGGAGCTGAGAGAAACATGTTATTATGCCTTTCCCACCTTGCTTTCTTGACCTGAGAGCAGCTAGAAAATACGAAGTTGCTGTGTTTACCCGGGGCCAGGCCAGCCTGTGTACACAAACCTTGGACTAAGAGAGCGGAGCAGGGGTTCAAGAGCCAGAAGGGGATCAGTTTGGGTTTAGTTACACATCTTACATGAACAAGCTTTGCTTTCCGAATGTGGCCCTTCTTGGTGGAGGAAAGAACTCAGAGGAGTGACCAGGCAGGAAATTGGTGCCACCGCTCCTGAGCAGAGACAAAATAACTCAAAGCTCTGCCTTGGATCTCTGCCTCACAGCCAAGTCACAGCAAGGCGCATTTACCCACTGTGCTGAAGGGATGGAGAATTGCGAAGTGACGAGAGATGGGTAGAGGGAATTGTCAGTGCTATCTGGTTTGAGTGTTAGACCAATGAAGCATGAGCCCACCATCAATCACCACTGACAAGTATTATGAACCGAGGGTCTCCCAACAGTCCCCAATGAATGGCAGGAGAAAGGGGAGATCATCTGCTACTGCTGTCCCGTCTCCCAGTGAGGTCTGAGGGAGGCACCAGTCTGCGAGGATGATACCAAGAGAAAGCAGCCTGTGACATCAGTGGGGAAAGCAACAGTGCTGGTATTTCGTGTACAGGGGACGTTTGCCATTGTTCCCACTTGTCAGCATGATCTTCACCATTGCAACCACTATCATCACTGTTGTAAACTGTTTATCATTCAGAGTTGTGCCCAGCCAGACACAAAGCTCCGCGTGGTATGACTGAGCTTTGATTTCTGTTCAGGTTCCAAAACGCCAACGGAAGCGTAGCACAGCAAATTCCTGCTCCGCTTCAGCCATCTGTGAAGCGAGCAGACTATTCTGTATGTTGTCTGCAGCCTCCCTGTTCCATCTATCACTGACCAGCTGGAGAAAAACCAAAAACTATAAGAGAGAAACTTAATAACCGTGACAGAAAATGTTGCTGAAGTAGGGTTGCTATACCAAAGAGAATTTGAGGTGATATCTACTCCACAAAACTTCCAAATCTCAGGAGCCTCTTAAATTCTTTGCAATCACACACCTAGCCATCCTGCTTTCGCTCTGAAGAGGTGCAGCCCTGTTACCACGGACAATGCTGAGCTGGCAGTGCTGTGGGAGAAGTGGTTAGACTGGCAGCCTTGCAGAAGGAGGGGTAAAGCTGAATAAGGTAGCTGGATTGTTTTCATGGAAGGTAAGAGAAGAAAAACATTGGGGATTGCTCCACAGGTAAGGATTTTGGTTCCTGCAGAGCTGGTAGATGTGACTGAATTCCCCATTGATGTCCTATTTGCAAAGTAATTTAGAAACAGAATTTAGTTTCCAAGACCCCTAGAATCTGGTAAAATCAGGTTAAATACAGGCCTCCAGTCTGGGCCAAGTCTCACTGTAAGCGCTTTACACAAGTTCCTTCAAGTTCCCCATCAAAAGTAGAAATGCATTCATCTTAAAGGAGAGCTCTGTGTCACCTGAGGGAGGTAACGTACAGATTAAGGGAAGGAGACAGACATCTAGGGGACAGGGGAAGGGAAAGAAAGCCCTCTTTCTTCCCAATAGCATCAGCTGCCTAATCTTATGTGTTCTGAGCAGCTGCTGAAGGCTGTAAACGTACTACATTGCAACCCCAAGGTTACACTGCAGATAAAGAGAGAGCTACTGAGACCGTTTTCTGCTGAGTAGCTACGTTGGGGCTCCTGTCCTGGTTACTGGACTGGTCTCAGCAAAACCGTTTCTGTATAAGAAGTTGAAACTTCACTTGGTGGCAGGGACGAAACTCCCCTTTGGGAGTTAAAGGGTGGTACTTGTGTGAAAAAAAAATGCAGCCAGTGTGCAAAAAAACCAGGCTGCAAGGTGTGTGCCAGGCCCAGGCCACGCGCTGAAGGGGCAGCTGCCAGCAGACTGGCAGACAAATGCAAAGAATCCTTCTCTTCATCACATAGGTCAAAATGTGGCATTTAAGAAAACCCCAGGAAATGACAAGAGGGAGTATATCCCATCACTAACATTCCCCACCTCCAGCATGCATCAGCAGATAAGAAAAAACCTCCCCTTGCCATCATTATTGTTGGCAAGGAGGGTATTGATGTTGGGGAAGGAGGACAGCTTGCCTCTCTGAACTACTTGCACTAGTCCTGCACATCCTAGACAAGAAAAATAAAGCCCTGTTTTGACTAGCAAAGTGAGCAAGCAGGGCTTAAAAGTTAAACAGAATGAGACAGAGACAAGGAGAGGAGGAAAAACACCGTGGCTGAGAGCAGCACGTGCCCCTCGCTGCACATGTACGCAGCCCTGGTGAACCACGGAAGCCGTGATGTTGAGGCGAGACACGTTCAACCTAGGAAAACAGCTCAGACAAAGGAACTGGAACGACTGTGCAGCTGACAGACAGCATCCTGACTTGTTTCTTCAGCATCTTTCGGAAGCATACAACCCCTGACTGTTGCTGAAATAGCGTTTCAGATGTCTCAGCCACCGGGGAGCCCCCTCGATGGGCCAAGCCTGCAAAAAGTTGTGACGTTGGTATTGACCCTCATGAGACAATTCCCTCCTTTTTTCCTTCCCCCCCCCCCCGGTTGCGTGGTGCAGCAGCCTCTTCGATACCTGATAGCAGGGCATCTTAGATGCGTAGGAAGGCTACTGTTGGCAGCTCAGCTAGATATAACTGCCCCTTCCACGTTTTGGTATCGGTTCTTAATTTCTGTGGTTCCAGTGGTTTCGGTGAGATTGCATCCAGACACGGGGCAAGGCAATGTGGCACAGCCTGGTTTTAAGTTCCTGGAACAGGTATGCAAGTGAACTGCCTTGCCTGGCTGGTTGGACGTCAGAGCGACCTGCAGGGAGTCTTTACAGGGAAAGAAGAAGATCCGTGTGGAGGATGTCAAGGCCTTTGCATGTTTTGAAAGTGCCTAGGTTCTCAGGGAGCCTGTATCCCTTGACAGTCAATAACAGTTTGGCTGGGAGTCTCTCGGACTCTGTAGGTGCCTGTCTTCAAGACTTCATGTTTCCTGAAGTCTCACAGATGCAAAAATTGCCTTGCAATTACAGATTATACTGCATGTAACAGGAGTACTGCTCCGAGTGTTGTTCCCACTGCATTTTGTAGTGTAACTTTTCTAACACAAAAACTACTATTAGTGGTTGAAGTGTTGTGTTTAATGTGCTTGTAGCATTATTTCTCAATAATTCTGGGATCCTCTTAAAACTTAGATTTCTTAGGTGTTTCTCTGTGTGTGAGATCCCCCCAATTACTCTGCCTTTTTTTTTTTTTTTTTTTTTTTTGGGCTGTTTCAAACTGTAGCTGTGTTTAATGCAAACTTCAGCCTTTGAAGAAATTTGTGTATTGCAGTACTGGAAACCTGGCAAATGTCATTAAAAAACGGAGCTGCACGTTTAAGTAAACTCAAGCCCAAACTCAGCTGATTGTAATTAGAGTTGCTGAGAAAAAACATTGTTGCAAATTGCCAAGGAAAAACAGTCTCGCTTCCATCCCCCTGCACAAAATCACAAACATTTCTATGAAATGGAACCAATTTTGGAAAAATAAAAAGGGAGAGTGAAAAGCACATTTCCCAGGGGTATTTAATTTCATTTCTCCATGTATCTCAACTGTTTCCTAGGTCCAAAAAGTTTCCAGTAATCTTTGTTAAGCAGATCCCTTCTTTCAAGCTGCCTGTTTTGCAATCAGAAGGGAACATGCACCAAAGTGGTCTGTCCCTATCTCTCATTTCCCAGCTATCACAAAAGCAAAATTTTCTGATTCTGCTCCCAGTGAACCTTTCTGCCCTCAATGCCCCACTGCAATCTCTACCTGAGCTTCAATCTGATCAAATTTCAGTGCTGCCAAATACCAGCTCAGATCCCACCTGAGCTCTTAGATCACTTGGTGCATTACCATCATTGCTCTGGGGGGTGAGGGGAGGGGTGGGGGGG